CAGTTATTACAACAATGATTTATAAACAAAAGTTTCACAAACTTACAAACAATATAAATCTTCTTTCTAGTTTGGAATTTCCTTGATATCTTATCGAGGGTTCACGATGAGCGTGTTGATTACAAATTGATATAGGTACAATTCACTTAGTAGGGAGCTAGCTTGCCCTGTAGTTCTCGCTGATCATACGCCTATTAGAGATTGAGTTTCCACCAATGACGTTAGGTAATGTTTTCGTAAAAGTATTAAGTTCCGATGTGAATCCACTGAAGTTAAATGAGTTGTAATGTTCGAATTTTGTAAAGGTTCCTCGTCAAATATTTGAAGTTTTCCGATTGGTTAGCGTTATAACAATCACAGTTTTAGCTTCCGAAGTTTTATAGCACATTGATTATAGCGAACTAATAATAGATACACTCATTGGCGCGTCGCGTTAGTTATATTTATAGCTGTGTGGAGGCGTTCTAGAAATTTCAGTTTTACGTAACAATACAAATTTAACCATTTACATACTCACATATATTGTTGATTCTTACTCTCGAGAATCATCTACAACTTTGGAGAATAGGCGGGAGTTTCGCAATACATATTTAACACTATAAACTACGCATGTTTTGAAATATAAACTTAATCTAAACAAACGATGATATTAAAATAAATATATAATAACAAATTCGTTACACCACAAGTTTACTGTTAAATATGTATCTTAAACGAAATGTCTTAAAGTTCTTTCAAACGATAAGGCCAAATTATTTGTGTATCTTCATTTTGGCTAGTTATAGGTCTAGTACTGACCCACTATTACAACCGACCGGTAGAGTTCGATCTTCTAAAGAGCTAACTCAGAAACTAGGAGATTCTTTAAATCAGTATATATACTGATTTATATATATAATATATATATTTTTAGCTGAAATAAGTTAAAACACTGATCTCATTGATAGTTGGATTGTTCTTTATAATACATCCATGATCAAAGATAATTCATTAATTATTAATTTTATGATAATCATGTTTGTTTGTGTTTTGTACAACGAATATATTGAAAAGTATAGAAACATTCCACTTATATTGGTATATAATAGACATTTAAACGTTACTTAAACTTTACAATGTATGCAGTTATGTCTGTAAGAGCTTTGTATTGAGATACCTTTTATTTAATTCAGAAATACAATCCACTCTGTCTTTTTGCAGAAATCTCCGATGACGACAGGGATTAGAAGAATGCTCTGAAGGTCGGTGTCCAGTCGTATGCTTTAAGTATGGAAGGCCTGAGCTTGGAGTACAGAGATCTGGAGTCGACGACAGAAAGTAAGAATAATCATGATTGTTTCGTAATCATAAGAGGTTAGAGGATTTGCAAAACCAAATTTTAAGCTACTTTGTATAGTTGTAAACATAAAAGCATTTATACCAAGTACCAATAAGTGGTGAATATTATTTTACTCGTTAGGTTTAAAAGTGCAGTATTATTTTGTATATCGTGCTTCAATCGATTTGCATAACAAATCCTACAGTTTTTAGGTGGCAGTGAGTGATGTTGGCTAGCAACGTTTCATCTAGTCAGTTCAACATTATGTTAAAGCTAATCACTTCACACGCCGGCTAACTGCACCGTTTCTTTTGCTATCTAATTTTCTGACTGAGCTGCACTTGACTTTTTCTCCATTTTACTTTACTTCACTTGACTTCTGCTCGTTTGGTCGCCCATATTTATATGTTGGTCACTGAGGCCTCTAGAATTTTCTCTAAACTACGCGACGCGATGATTTAACAATACTCAATTGAGGCGAGAGAAAACTACTGAAGGGTCAAGTAATGTGACGTCAACAATATTAGTTAAGTTTAGAGAACAATTTAATTGCAAACAAAACGTACGACTTTTGTCAAGTTTCGTAATCAAACTTATCATAACTACCGCCTTTAACAGTGTAAACAGTTTTGTATATCCAGCAAAAGCTTTGTTGTAGCTTTGCGCGAAATTCTAAAATAAACTTATTTTATGATACAATATTTTCAACTCTATAGAAGTAATAATATTGATAACTTTATTTGGTCCAAGACGTACTATTAAAATCTGAAGGTCTTTGATGAAAACGTTTGTGAAGTATGATATCGCAGAAAGAAGAGCGCACGCTTTTAAATCCCGTGTCTTCTACGATGGAAGATATGCTTTTACATACCTTGTCATCTACAGAGGAACGCTCGCTTTTATATCCTATATTATATATAATGGCATATGCACTTTTACATTCTTAGTCATCTGTAGTGTAACGTGCGCTCTTATATCCCATATTATCTGCAGTGAAATGTACGCTTTTACATCTGTGTTACTTATATAGTGCCATGACGTAACTTCTAACTGAAGCTACAAAAAAATTAAAACTCTTGTATTAACCAAAAACCTCTTAATTATATTCTCAAAGAAGATAACTTGATATTCATTGATTTTTCGTCACCCAAACAGTAACCACCGGTGATGAAAAAAACAAACTTCCCCAAACGATAACAACCAAAAAGAGAAAATATTAATTCATGTATTAATTACCAGCAGCGAAAATTATCCGTTTACTCGTTCATGAAGTAATCAGTCAGTAAAGAAAATGAGTTTTACTCACTAAGTGTTAACCACCAGTAAGGATGTTTTAAGTATGTATAAAATCATGAAGTCATCACCATTAAGGAAAGGATTAAAGGTTTACTTCTACTAATAATCAGCAAAAAAGAGAATTGGTTTTCATTTTAATGATATATAACGCCTATAGATCACTGGTTTATGTGACTTTATATCACAATAAGACCGATTGAAATTTTTAACCCTATACGGATTTCCAATATGAAAAACATAATACCATTTCGACCAGCCGCGTTGTGTGCTTTAAGCCCGTTGCCGACAAGCGATTTCGCTCAATACAAAGATTAATTTTACTTGTTAATTAGGTAAACTTTAGTAAAGAATATAGTTCTTGTTCGAGTGTAAACCAACAGTAAAGAAATAATTGATGTTTTTTTTTCGTTTAATTATTAACCATCATGAAAAATAATGTTATGCTCAATCAAATCTTAACAGTAAAGAGAAGTTTAAAGTTTACCAATTAAAGTTTTAATAATTGATGAAGTTACAGTTTAAAAGCCAAAAGCCAGCGAATATTAAAAATCCTAATTAAGAGAAATATGGTCAAAAACATGATTTTATAACAATCAACGAAGAAAGTAAAAACAGTTTAACCCACCCAAGGTAACCGTCAGTGTAGAAAACAAAATTTGGTAATCATCAGTAGAGAGAAAAAAAAAAGCTTTTACTCACCTTATTGTTAATCAAGGAGGATGGCCAAGAGTTAACCATCAGCAAGTTCAGAATTAAAGTCTTACCCCCTCACCCCAAACAAAAATACAAGTTTTGGTGAAAAATAAAAAAAGGTTAAAGTTTGTATTGTTTTAGTCTTTATAATACTGTTAAGTCTCTGGTCGTTAGTTAATTTTCCGTAAAAATTCTTTCCGAAGAAACTTTAGCGATACAAGTCCTTTCTTAAATAAAACTGGTTTATTCTTTCTTGATACAACTTTGCAATACACTTAATTTCCACTGTCGCGCTATAACAAACACTATAATTCACAACGAACATCTCACGTGCTCGACTCAACAATACGTCTCTCTCTGTCTCTCAGTTCGATTACCCATTGTTGCCGGCAGTTCTTGGCGGCTTATATATACAAGACTACCGCATATCTAGTAGCCTCTCGAGACTTCAGGAAGGGACAGGATCTTTCTAGAAGTTCATGACGTGTTACTAGCGTCACGTGACCCCCGCTGTCATAACAATACATTAATGATAAGACTAGGTTCTGTCTGTGTCTATGTATATATATACTACTAAAAGACGTATTCAGCAAACGACATACTGTATTATTCGAAAGTCAGAAACAAAATCACTCGGTCAGAAATTCACATTTTTATGCCGGATTTATCATTTCATGTGTCTATCATAAGAAATACTATTATCTGTCATTTCTGCTTCTTTGTAATTATTAATTAATATATTTTATTTGTTTGAAAGTATAGTCTAACTTAATAAATAACTTGGTCGAGTGATTAAAATAAAAAAGTCTTATCAGTAGTAAAACACAGCTCTCGTTTTAAACTACAAGGATGTACAATTTGGAAGTTTCAAATATCTGTTGAGCTTAACGTTTTCTCATAACTAGTATTTCCTGTCTATAAACATGTTTTAGTTAACCGTACATGTTTCGTGTTTCTCTAACGTCAAATTTATGTGCTGACAGCAAGTTGCTTTTCCTTTGCCAAGATACATGTCGCCAGCGTGTTTCAAGATTCTGTTAAATTAACCTTCACTAAGAAGTTGATTTTAAAATATGTATATCGCAGGTTAAGTAAGTATCTAATAACCATACTCTTCGAAGTTATTTTAAATTTCGCAACAGAACATTAGTATTTAGCTCTGCACAGCACGCCAATTTTCTAGTGTAAAACTATCTATTTTTTAAATTATTCTGCCGTTGCTAGGTTTGATTGCAGCAAATTTTTATTGCATCACAACATAGCGTTGATATTTTCTGTTCATTCATTATGGAGTTGCAGTAAAAATTTCTTATATTGTTATTCGCTGTTGATGACCCTTGAGCTGAATGTGTTGTGCTCATAAGGCCATCTATGCAATGACAAACAAGTTATGATGTCATTTTATGTTATCGTGATATATTTTTAACCCTATGGGAGTAGGGACATTTTTGAGATGACTTTCAGAAGATTTGCTCTTTTGTTAAACATCAATACTTTTATATTATATGTTATTATTGATTCTAAAATATGTTTGTTTTTAAGCTATGCTTTCAACTGTATCATTCAACCGGCCTGGTTTTCAGACTTCAGTAATTCGGAAACTCCTTTGAATTTAAGGTTTTTCCACGCCCCCCCCCCCAAACCTATCGATGTTTTCTGCTTTGAAAAATAGATTCCGTGTACATGAAAAGCTGTAGTCCAACATTAAATGTTTTAATTTAATATGAATTTAATTTTCCAAAAAATGTTTTTATTCTATAAATTATATTTCAAAAAATATTCTAATAAAATTTCGGATATGACTCGCGGATGTGAGTTTGAGAAATGTTGATCTATAGGATTCAACAAAGCCACGAGCCAGTGACATACATATGAAGTTGAAATGAGCATTTATTGAATAAAATATGATTAATTATTTACTTAAAATACTGTACTAGAAAGATAAAATATTCTACTGAATTAAGCTATAAAACGCTTTCATGCAGCTGCCAGAATTACAGGTTGGGTTTGTAGTATATCGTTGAAGAGTTTAAACTGTTTTAGTTTGTAGACGTAAGAATGGTCCACAGGCCACAGAAAATACGATAAGCCAGAAATTAGAACTCTTACAAGAGCTGTTGAAGCAGAAGAAAGATCTCACGAATCGAAAACACCGTTGTCTACCTGTAAGTATGATTTTATTTTTGTTACTTCTGGACCAACAGCACTGTTTACTGTGTATTAAGGAACACGAAAAAGTCGTAAAGGAAATCTCATCTGCGATTAGTCTATGTGCATGAAAGTACTGCAAGATTGAAAAAATAACTAGATATGTTTCATGGGAGTCGAAAGGGCCCAAAAAACATTCATAACGTATTACGCCTTTCTATGTGTTACTCTATAAAGTGTTTTTATAGGTAAAGGATAAATTATCTTTTATTAAGTTAACACGGATCATTTAAACTTACTGAGTTAAATTTGGACATATCAAAAAGAAAATTTGCTTCTTTTCTCTGTCTTTGTTGTTTGATTTTCGAATCAAAGTACGATTTTTTTACATTAAATTTTTTTGAAAGATTATTTTGCGTTAAAAATACAATTAACAGATCTAAATTGTTATAACAATGCCATAATGTGTGTTTCATAAAGGTTTCACTCTAAACATGTATTGTTTTATATATTATTTCCCTCGCACAGAAGACCCAGAGTTTAGATCAAACGACGAATTGCTTTCATCAAGAGACTCTACAAAAAGCCACTCATTTACGACAGCGAAAGATTTCAACGCAACTAAAGGTAAAGTTGACACAAATCAAATAGTTAACATATTATAAAGATTAGATCCGTATATATAATCGTTAGAGATCTGTAGCGGAGACCTTCTGTGGCTCAGTTGTAAGCTTGACGACTTAAAAAAATTGGGTTTCGATGTTTTTGATGGCCAGAGCAAGTAGCTTAGTGTAAAGCTTGGCACTTATACAAAAACAATTCTAGAGTGGAAAATTAAACGTATAACGTCATTTCTTATAATAAATCAAAAGATGATCAGAAATGGAAGAGATTTCTTGATATAACAACAGGCGAGATACTAATCAACAAGACACCTTCACATGGCATTATAGTTACTCAGCTTACTGCAGCGAGTCATACAGGAAAATATGTGATCCTGCACTGTAAAAATCTAATCCTTACATACCTTCAAACCACAATGAGCACCAGCATAAGAAAAATGCTACCAACATTTTTACTTACTTTTTGGGTGTGTAAAACTGTTTGGCAGATAAACTCAATCCACTGACACCACAGCAAAATGTGAGAAGCGTATTCCTTTGCTGTAAAATCACTTGGAAGCTACCAACATAAATCCCTTAAAAAACTAAGCTAATTACGAAAAGCATATTTTTAAACTTACTTTTATACCTTACTTATCAGAAGTACCCTCTTGGGTGAGTAAAGTCAACTGGACAGCTACAAACTTCAAACCATAGCGCATTCCCAGTATCAGAGCTTCACCCGAGTTTGATAATCTTGATAACAGACAACAAAAAAGTAAATAAGGAAGTACGTATTTGTGTGTATTCAAATCTTAAATTAGTAGATTTCGGAATCTAAATTTAAAAACGTCAAATAAAAACTTATGAAAATACGTTACCTACAATACAATTGTCAAAATTAAAACTAAGATTTATCACAGAGAAATACTTAGTATTGAGTTTTATTTTTCATTCAGTTTAATTAACTCTTCTTGTAAATGTTTCTTTTATTTCAAACGTTTTAGGAATTAATTAGTTTCCCAGAAAGGTTGATTAGTTGTTTGGCTACTGTTAAGCGCAAAGCTACACAATGGGCTATCTCATCTACGTTCACCGCCGAGAATTGATTTCCCTGATTTGAGCATTGTAAACCCCGAATTCATTACTGAATCTGGAGGCCTCACAAAAGTGAAATGTGAAAAAAAGGTTGATTTTTAGGTTAACATAAAACTTTTAATATATTCATAGGGCGCTGAACTATTTTCAGGATTCTATACGTGGAATGGATGGTGGTCTGTTATAAGCTCTAAAGTGTCACTTCTGTTTAATTTCTATAATTAAGTAATTATCTTTCATGATGTAAAACATTTATGATTTTTTCTATTTGTTTGTTATTAAACAAAAAGCTACACAATGGGCTATCTATGCTGTGTCCACCACGGGTATCGGGTATCGAAACACCAGATTTATAAGTCTACTGGGGCAATTATTTCTGTAACTTTATTCAAATCCGAGCATGTTTACATAGAAGTTAACAGCCATCAAAATCGCTTAACCAATATGTTTTTACATAAATATTCCTCAACTCAGGCGGCTAATTGGTTAGCGAGCAGTACTGTGAATTTGAGGGTGAAAAGATCGCGTCCCTTTGCTGCAAATTCGCGTTGTGGAGCTCACTATTCGATCGAAGTAGTTCAAGAGTTGGCGATAGGTGCTATTGATTACTTAAATTCTCTCTAGTCTATCAAAACAAAATTATAAATGGCTATTACGGATGGCCCTTTGGATAACGTTGCGAAACAATCAATCATTTTTTAAAATTGTGCATCCTTGATGTATACCTTCAACTACAAAAATCCTGCAACTTATTAGTAAACTTCTGTAACGAATTAACAAAAAGCTGTATATCATTAGCCTATAACTCATTTATAAAAGTAGTGGCGCTTTAATTAAATTCTGCAAGTCTTTAACAACATTTTGTAATTCGATGAAAAAAACCTGAACTCATTATGAAACTCTAACATTCACACACACAACTTTGTTTATTTCATTCGCAACGTTTCACCAGGTTTACCTGGCTTCATAAAAAAAAAAATCACGTGTGAATTTATAACAATAGCATTCGACTAACCAATTGCAAACAATAAAGTAATTTGTTGTCTGTTTATCTCACCAATAGACAGCTGTTATATTGGTGAGACAAACAGACAACGTTTGCGGGAACAGTTAAACTCATTCTTTTGATTCTTCTCAGGTAAAAATCCTTAGCTGAGAAGACAACATTAACAGACGAAAAATAAAAGAAGCCATATTAATAAAAAAACATAACCCTATTCATAACAAATAAAAAAGTGTTCATTTTAATACCCTTCTCTTTTGTACATAGAACGAATTTCAATAGCTAGACTCAGGCCTAAAAGTTGTATTCTTTATACCTAAATTTGACAGTTCATTGATAAATTACTTTATTGTTTGCAGTTGGTTAGTCGTATGCTTGTAGATTACTACTGTTATAAATTCTCACGTGATTTTTTAAAAATTAAATTCTTTTAGCCTCAGTTCTTGTATGCCACCTGATGATGTTAGGTAAACCTGGTGGAACGTTGTGAAAAACAACAACAAAAGTTTTACTGTGTAAAACGGATAGAATCTTGTGTGAGTTTAAAATCACATTTCTTTCTAGTAATTAATTCATATCACTTTTCGGAGTACGTAGAAAGTTTATCGTCATTATGAATATTTCTTCAAACTCTAACATTAATGTCTAGTAAAAAACAACAGTATGAATTACTTTGATACTTTCTTCGTTATGAAAAACTTTCATTATATGTATACATAAGTACATATACATATATTCATATATATATATATTTATATATATATATATATATATTATACACGCACACATTCACAATGTACGTAGACATCCGAGATGTTAAATATCCGAGTCCGGTGGTTAGCATTCCGGACTGTAAATCTGAGAGCTCATGGTTTGCGACTTATTGCCGAAAATACGTGCTCCGCACTCTGGGGCCATGGGTGGATTATAAAGAGTTACAGTACAATACTACTATTCGATCAAACAAGAATAGCCCAAGAGATGGCGTGACCGCTGTCTTCGAACTGCCTTCTCTCTATTCTGTCAGTTCAAAATTATGGTCGACTAGAATATATATATCTTTGTAAATCTCAACTGAAAAAAGTAAAAACATTATTTTATTTGTTAATTTTGTTAAATCCAATACTTCATTGGAACGTCATTTCTAGCAATACCAAGGATATTTGGTAGATAATCTATTATTCATTACCTTAACTAATACAAAAAGTACAAGATGATTCTATCTTCACCTGCGCGTCCACCTACTGACTCAAAATACATTGAGATACAACACAGAATATTTACCGATTATACTTGTAATTTAGAATTATTTAACGCATTACGCCTCCTGTAATTTTATAGTGCAAGCTACAAAATTCGTTCTTGGGGGAAAGTTGACATTTCTATTCTTATTGTATATCTTACGAATCAAATAGTTATTTCAATTTTCTTTGGAGTTTTCTTTTGTTAGATAAATATAATCGATGTTTTAGCATTTGTCTTCCAGCTGTGGTAAGCATTAATTTTCTTTTACACCACCAGATGGACACACTCCAAAAGAAGCTTCAAGACGACAAAAAGTGGGAACCGAAAAGCATCTACAAAATTCCACAGATACAACAGCATTTCCAGGATCAGCTAGTCGAGCTAAACCGAACATTACAAGAGATCGACAGTGACCTGGGTAAGGCCGAACATGAGTTAGGAGAGAGTTTCAGAGAACTGAACATTGTTAGCAACACTCATGTTAAGAAGCATACTAGTAGAAATAGTCCCTTTAGGCGGGATCAACCCGAAATCTATCAAGAAAAACTACCTAAAATTCGAATATCCAAATCTGTAGATGACTGTAGGGATGTTTCTCTCAAAACCAAAGCTACAAAGCTGATTTCTTCTCCGAAGTTACGAAAGCTGAAAGATGATAGCGCTAAAACAGGATCGCCCATGTCCTGTGAGTATATGGGAGTAACCTCCAGTTTTCTTGATTTGCGATGATATAAGCTCATTAACAAAATTTTTCAATTTACTCTTGACCATATCTTTTGTAATTTTGCAATGGAGCGCGTGTTGTGAATTTTGATAAATAACATTCTTTCTGTATAGGTTTCAGGAACGAATACATTCATATTGTGCGAACTACATTTTAAAGAAACTGTATAATTGTGTTTCAGTTTTTTATATTTTGAGGAAAAAGATGCAAATATTTTAACGTTCTCATGAAACTTGCTCCTGTTAAAGAAATTCCCTTCCTATTAAATAACGAAGTGTATAAACAAATTGAAGGAGTTGCCATGGGAACTCAAGACTAGCATAACTGTTATTTTTTCCCCTCTTCATCACGAAATAATAAAAGACTTCTTCAAATGACTATAATACAATAAATACAACGATGTGGATTTTATCAACTTCACCAACTTCTTACAGCTTATTATAGTAATAAAACTGAAAAAGGCACAATTTATAGTACTTATAAGACATATATTTTCATAACGAACTTTAAAATGTCAAACTCTTCTATATATGTGTATGTGTGTGTATATTTAATGGCAAAACCACATTGAGCTATGTGCTGTGTCCACCGAGGGAAATCTAACTCCTGATTTTAGCATTGTAAATCTATAGACTTACCACTGTCCCACAGGGGGGACTTTCTACACATAAATACTTTGTAGTCTTTCTTATAGTCCACTAATTTCATTATTCTCACAGAGCACCCCTAAATATACTACAATGTGTTGTTCCAATACTGTTTTTAAGTCCGATCTAGCTTTCAAAAGTTGAAGTCAGAAAGGTGCTGCGGTTGAAAATAGATCTTCAACAACTGATTATGTAAATTTTATTCTTATGTACATTAATTTTATTATGTATATATTTTTATTATTTTTATTGTTTTTATATCAGTTCATAAAACTATTCTTTTCAGCGTCTTGGGTTGCTAAAACCTTTTCCAAAGAAGAAGATTGTGACTTCATGGCTGATCGGAAACAAAGCCAATTAAGCTTAAGTCCACACACTATAAAATTGAGAAAAAGTCCATTGTGCGTTCTTGGTAATTTCATGGAAGCTCAAATCCGAGAAAGAATAATGTTACACAGAAGAAATAAATCTGCAGAACACAACGTAGAAGCAGCCAAAAAAGACTACGCACATTTCAGACGGAGATCGACTTCAAACGAAAATATTGTCTTCAGAAGTCGTAATAGTGCTGCATCAAGATCAGCAGGGAAGTTGGGCGAGGATGCACAACCAGCTGAAAAAGACAAATGTCAGATACGTGATGAGCATAACAACACCTGCTACCCTAAGAACATTGAAAATGAGGGATATACCAAAGTAAAGACTGTAATCAAGCCTGAAGTCTTGGCAGAAATTAAAGTAAGTTCTCTTTAAATCTACTTCCTTATGAGTTAGTAATGAAAATTCGTGTTGATGTAATGCTAAAAGATATCACGCAGTTTAACAGTAAGTTATAAAATAAAGCTTATAATCTTTAAATGTGAATGATTTAATTTATCTGAGTTCGATGTGAAAACGAACTAAGGAATTCTATGGAATGTTTTATCACTTTATGTGTAATTTTCGTGCTTCTGTTTTTAACTGCATTTACTAAAATTCCCTATTTGGGATTTAAGTTTTCTCTCTTTACATAAGAGTAGGTATCTTACTCTTGCCTAAGTCCAATATTTCACACTCTTTCAACAAGCAAAAGTAAAGAGGTTAATCATTAAATTCCAGAAATTTTATGTATTTTCATGCGTATCACGGCAAGGAAAAAAAATTAGACACATAATGCAGAAACATGGCTAAAGAACATCTAATATAATTTCAATTGCGTCTGATTGTATTAAGTGCTTAATTTATTTATGAATTACAGGCTTTCGAACAGTTGACGCAAGACTATTTCCTCAGGAAAGAACGCCGCCAAGATTTTTTTTGAATCAGTATGTATGTTTTTATACATGCATCGCATACAAATCGCTTATATTTTCCGCCAACCAAGTTTTCTTCAGTTGTCATTAAAGTGTTTACACAAACATGTAAGGTTGTGTTCTTTAAATTTGAGTGTATTCAATATACAATCCATCTTTGTAATTTTTGTTACCATTTTAAAGTGAAACGGGGCTAGTTCATTCCATTTCGTTATGGATCAGAAAAGAGTTGAGATTTTTGAATCATATAAATCTATTTTGTCATTTTTCCACTTTATTCGAAGTACAAATAGCCATCTAGATTTATAAAATAATTAGAAAATATAAAAGTGTTTTAAAGGTATAGACATAAAGAAACTAATTAGAGTTTAGACTACTTGACTATCACCAAGATAAACTTCTAGGTAAAATTTATTCGGTTGTGTTTGAATGAGATATCCTATTTGTATTTATATTTCTTTCAATTATAGGCTGACATTTGATTGTGTTCAAGAACGATTATGAATATTGACGCGAAAATTCACTTCTCATATAGTGCCAAAACCCATTAAACAGCTCTGACAGTGTAACTTTAAAGGATTCGTTTGTGCTAAACTGCTGCGACACGTTGTTTAGGTAGGGAGTCAAATAGCAGGACATTACCAATAGCACAGCCAAAAACTAATGTTTATGAAGATACAAAATGATAAATTAGAAATGAAATGACTATCTTGGATATTTAATAAATAGCTATGATATTGGTTCTGTAATTCGTATTTAACAATTTTGAATGTAATTCAAATAAAACAATATACTAAATACACTATGAGATGTGTAATACAACAACTCCCACTTTAACTTATTTTGTAATTTACAAAACACAGATCAAGAAAAAATCTATTGTAAAGCCCTGCACTATATGAAACATTATCTATATTGCACAGTGTAAGAAGTGCAACCATAAATATATTGGACAAACCCAAAAAATCTTTAGAAAACGTTTTAACAACCATAAACCCTTATTTACACTAAAAAAAATCCTTTCCTGTTACTCAGCACTTTAATTAACCAATATGAACATTCTATCAAACATGTTTCCCTAAAGCTGATAGGGAAGGACAAATAAGCTTGTTTGGATTGCCACTCTTAGTATTGTTAACACTTGGCATCAACTTTGATTTCGGCCTCAACGACTTTTGACAGTTAATATATTTTTTGTCGGTTAAACATTAAATTTATATTTTGAGTTTTCTATCGCTACCTTTAATTATCCATCTTACTTAATTTAAACCTTTTATATTCAGTAATACATTCTCTATAGTTGACTGACCCCTTATTTTTACATATTTTTTTATAATTATATTATTATTATTACAAACAGATAGATTACGAAAAGCCCCCTAATGGCGGAATGTCTCCGGACTTACAGACTAGAAACCGGGTTTCGATACCCCTGGTGAGCAGAGCACAGATAGCCTATTGTGTAGGTTTGTGCTTAACTACCAACAAACAAACGTAAAATAAAAATAGATAAATATATATATATATATATATACATAAACCAAACTATGTTATTTACATTAACAGTTTATGGGCGAAAATTCATCACTATATAACAATGGGGAAAACGTAAAAGCAAAACAATATTCTTATAAGTGAAATTCAAGACATTCTCAAACTGACACTCACATAAAATTCAGAGTTATAAAGTTTTGTGAAACAAATCTATATCAGTCTTATTACATCAAATAAATCGACAATCACACCAGTAACAGATATGCAAAACAAGATAATTAAAATTATACCTTTTGTCAGGAAAGTAAAAAGAAAGTATATTTTTTAAAAGAAAAACCTCCGTTGATGATAACCCGTGTATTAGACATAATATGAAATCGCATATTAAAAACAAGAAGGCTAGCAATGAAAATCAAATATGGGCTGATTTTGGGTGCTACTACCTCAAACGTACCAAAATTTACTACCAATCAACATCCACGGCCAGTTGTGGATATGGATGTTAGACTTAACAAAATAGTATATTTTTTTAGTAAAAATTACCTTCAACTTCTACCTTTGTAAATCACCAAACCTCCACACGTAGACTATTACTAGAAGATAAAAAGAATCATACAAACTTTACCTTGACAGTTCAGTAATAATTGAATACTCATTTTCCTCTCTTAACAACGTCATTCAAGTGTAAACCGGACTAGGTGAGACAAACTCAGCTGTTTAAAGTTGACCTTTTCAGGCCCGATATACTGAGAATCACAAATCAACTCGTCGAATTATATTCAAAGCTAGTATCTAGGTGACCTTGAAATACTTGTGTCCTATTAAGGATCGCACTAAAAATAAATATTCGATAATGAGGAACCCACTTTAAGACTAATAATGTTTGGAGACAGCTTGAATGAGTAACGAAGAAATACTTTAATATAAGTTTAACATAACAGCAAATGTACAACTTTTCGACAAGGTTTTGTCATCATCAGCTACAAGTAGTTTATAATGACACAGATATATATATATATATATATATATATACAGCATAGAACAAAGAGGTCACATG